ACAAAACAACCTATCCTAAGGGTCCGTTTGATAGTCTAGAAAATGGGTGGATAATGAAAATATTTTCTAACTTCAGCCAATTAAGGGTGTTTGATAGCACAAATTTTCCTAATAAAATATTTTTCACCTTTTTCTAGGTTACAATCATTTGATGCACAAAAACTTGATTTTGTTTTCCCACCTATTTGGTGGGAAAACATTTTCCATCTTTTTTTTTTTTTTGCTTTTTTTTTTATTGCAATGGGAACNACAAATTTTAAACCCAATGGTAGAAAAAAATTATCACTTTAATGGACAAATTCCATAAAAAAAAAAGAAACCAAATGGACACCAAACTTTTAACAATTTCCACGAAAATTATACAAATCAAAGAGAATAAATTACAATTCCTAGTAAAACATTTTCTAGGAAAATCAATTTTCTATAAAACATTTTATTTCCATCCATTTTCCACCATTGCAATCAAACCTACACTAATTGTAATTCATTTTCCACCCAAAAAAGGTCATAGAAACAACTACTTCATTCCACTTCTCCTACATCGCCACCTTTTTCTATGGCACCAAAATCATTTTACAGTTGGATAGGTTCAAAATTGTAAAAAAGGAACAAGATTTCCACCACCTGTCGGAGGTCCATTGTTGCCTACCCTCTTCATCCCTTCTTTCATTGTGAGGCAATTTTGTTTCTTCCTTTTGGCTTTTTAGATTGAATGTGGTTGTCGGTGGTAGTGTGATCTAGGTGCAATCTGGGTGGTAGTGCGATTTGGGTGGTGGTGTTAATTGTAATTGGTGCGATCTAGGTAATGGCTGTTGGTAGTGATGGTTTGTCTGGTGGTGATGATGGTTGTTGGTGTGGTGTTGATGGTTTTTGTGTGATATGTGTCTACATGGTACAATTTGGGTTGTGGTGATGTTGATGGCTATTGGTGCAGATCGTGGTGGTGGTTGTGGTGCGGTGGCGAAGAAGGTGCGGTGACGAAGACATTTGAGTGATGCCGATGGTGGAATAGTAGGATGGAAAGATCATTTGTGACCAATTACTTAACTAATTATGACCAATAAAATGGGTAATTTGTGACCAACAAATACTATGTGATATTTAAAAATTTTTATTGTAACTAGATTTGTAATCGTGACATTGTGTCTTTATGATGGATAAATAATTTGTAATAAAAAAAAATAAGTTATGATCATTAATTTGATAATTTGTGATTGATAATTAAGTCGTGACCTATAAAAATGTGTGATTTGTACTAAATTTTCAATTGTGACATACATTTGTGTCTTTGTGATTATGACATTCTTTGTGACTAATAAGTAATTATCATCATAAATTGTATGTTATTATGGCTTTGACCTACTTAATTATCTATTAATTAATACCACCTGATTTTTGAAAGAAATCTACAAGTTTATTCAATTTGAAAGTGTATCTTGAAATTATGATATTTATTTATTTTTCCAACCCTATAATCAATCAAGATTCCTAGATAATGTCAAAATCAAATTTAAAACCCTAAATTTCAATTTATAAGAAATTTATAGAAACGCACTGGATGCCCAATTGCAGTTTAAGTCCCAAATTCAAAGTTACATCAGAAGTCCTATGTTCAAAATTTGTACCAAAGACCTTTGCAACACCAAAATAGCAACACAGAGCACGTCGTCACCTGGTACTAAAACGTAACACGATCGGACTTTCTAGCGACAAAATTCGATCCTAATCAGATCGCACAATTAGCATCGCCATGGGCAGCATCTGGGTTTTGTGATTTGTATAGATCATCACATATATGTACATATCAAGCATGACTCGTGGTTCATGTGATCTGATCGCATGACTTGATTTGCGTAATTGGCGCATTCTCACCAACACCTGGTTACACCGATGATGTTGCAATTGTAGCGATCCATTGTGTAATTTGAGCCACTATTCGTGGTAGCAACTAGCTTGTGCAATATATACTAATATGCGGATTGAGAACAAGTGTGATCTTATGGCACAACTCAATTTGCAAAATCGTTGCCATTAAAATTGACAACTTGTTGCACATATGATGTTGCAGCGATCGGTTGTGTAATTTGTGCCACATTTTCCTGATCTTTGTAGCGCCTTCGTGGGGTCAACTCTCTATCTTCGATGTATTCGTATCAAAATACAGTACCGCTGGAGATGGAAAATTTTGACGACCCAGATAAGTTTCTAATTTTCTTTTCATAACTAATAAAAAAATATTCTTCATGACAGTACAAACTACAAATAATCAAGTTAAAAATTCTAAGAATTCTCTTGCCAAAACAATAACAAATTCTATAAAATAGCAAAGTAGGTCTAATACCACTGTTGAGTTTTACTTAAGTCTGTATAACGGAATTAGAACAATTTCAATATCGCTTGATCATATTTGTGTTCAGATAGGATTTATAATAAGAATTATACCTCTGATAATTCCTATTATTTGGGACGATTCAAAATCTGATTTAACACAGTCTCACCACATAAGAGAGATGTCATCATTGGTGTAAAGCAAGATGTACATATAACTTTATTTATGACAATAAATCTAATAGTAGTTAATATTAAGTCTACCAAACAATTAATACTTACAAGATAAGTGCATTGGTCTGCTCACAAACTAGCAATCATTTAAAAAAAAAATATATTCAGTTAGCTCAACACATAGTTATTAATCTACAAAAAAATATAAATCATAATTTTTTTAAAGTCAAATTTAAAGTTTTTAAGTTATTTTTCACTAATTATTAAATCTATAAAATAAAGTAAAAGGTTGTATCAAAGTTTTTTAGAAAAATATTTTTGGAAAACCTATAAATGATTCATTAGATAAATATAAGTTATTGCACATAAATAATATTAAAACACTTTGTGTTCCAGTGGTCCATTATTTTCCTTAGAAATCCAATGTTCGATTCCCTTAGGCTCGAAAATTTTGAAGGAAGATTTCAAAATACAGTCAACTGTGTCGGTTAAACCGTCGGTTAACTTGGTCAAAGCTTGGTTTTGACAGTACATTTCAATCAAATTAATCTGAACGGCTCGGTCAAGAGCTTGGGTCATCGATTTTCGGATCTACCTGGCCGGGCTAGACCGGGTTTTATAACCATGGTTCAACATATCTCTTCTCGTTTGTATATGTATATTTATTTCTAATTGTATGTGTATTCTAGGATAAATATACAGGGATCTTGATATGCCCATTTTTGCTACATTTATCTTATGTGTATTTGTCACTTGTAATAAAACACACGATATATATTTTACTAAATTCAAGTTTAATTTATATCTAATCAAAATATGAAACAAAAACTCATACATTATCCATACAATAAAAAGGGTTCAAAATTACATATATTTTATCGTGTGAATGGAACCCTTAATTTGTGACTGCGTCTTCTTTACCTTTCAAAGGTCAAACTCACTTCAAGAACCGTAAAAACAATTAGACAGATAAGCAATAATTTTGAATTTGCTAAAAAGGTGGTCTTAAAATTCTTAGCCATACAACACCTGCCCCCTTTTTGTGTCATGACCATTCTTTTAACAAAGGCATCTCTAAATAAATTAATCAAGATCATGTGATCATCACCATGCAATCATAAAAATTCTTCCACATGTTAACCAATGAACATGTTCTTACGCAGCATCACTCTCAACAAAACCCACCTAATAATTGATCGTAATTAATCACTTATTTAATACTTAAAAACCCGTGGGAGCTAAGCACGCCATCTTAATTACTTCCTTTTGTGAATTATAAAACAATGGGATTAGAATATATTAGTTTTATATGTACTAATGCAAACACTTGTTCACACTAGCCTTCTTTAGGTTTTTTTTTTTTTTTAATGAGCTGTCAACTAAGTCTTCGTGAATACTGTAGAAAATAACTATTCAAGAAAGTATTTGAAAAATAATCCCCTTCGCCTATCGATGCTCACGCATAGACTTCTAGGTCAGAATAACATCCTTCATCTTCGATTTTCTTGAAATCGAAGATCGTACACATATAATGATTGAAAGTTTACGTGTTTATAATTCATCCATCAATTTAGGAAGCAAAGGAGGAAAACTTTTCCTTTTAAAGCTATAGATACTTTTAAGTACGAAACCAATTTGGAGGTGACTTACTAAGCATATGGATTAGGTACAACATCGAGTTTTAGAGAATATTTACATTCGATCAAACTGAATTAAAAACGCTTTTTTAACTTATTGAATTTTGGAGGCTAACGTTCTAATGAAATGAATTAAAAGTACATTTTTACGTTCTTCCATATTGATAAACTAAAAGCGCTCTCTTATCTTATGGAATTTTGAAGACTCACGTTCCATTAAACTGAATCGAAATACTTTCTTATCAAAATAAAATAAGACTCAATAAAATAAGAATTTAAAGAAAATGATCAAAGCTGGGGTAGGGATAGTGAAAGTATTTAGTCATTGTAAGAATGAAATAAGGTGATGGACCACATAGGGCATGATTATTCTGGGATAGTATATATGTGTAAAAGCCATATCTAGGAAAGTGCAAACAAGTTATTTATACAAGGTTCCATATTCGCCGCCACAGCCATAATTGCACAAGACGACAATCCCAATATAAATTATCCTGCAGCTTCTGGATGAATAACTGGTAAACTATCTGATTATTATTCATCAGTTACCAATTTACTCTACGAGAAAACAAGAATGGGCACCAATATGTCGATCACTTTTACGATTTTCTTCTTACATATTCAGTCTTAAATTCGAGTAAACGATAAAGGGTACCTAATAGTCAGAATATAACTTTATACATTTAATATGAATTTAGCATACCCATAAGGTGTTTAGGTAGCCAAATAGATGCCATGTCAGCAAGTTCATTGCCTATTTATATGTATATATAAGGATATGGATTTGGAGAGAACCCACACAACTTTAATTAGAAACCTAAAGAACTAAACTTGTCAAGAGAGATTAAAAATTTCTCTACAATGTCATCCAAAATAGCAGCTGAGAATATGATAAGTCCCGGGGCAGAGACACCACTAGTGGTGGTGCGAGAATATGATGAAGGAAGAGATAAGGTGGCAGTGGCGGAGTTAGAGCGCCAGTGCGAGGTGGGTCAGCGCGGGAAACCGGCACTCGTCACCGACCTCATGGGTGACCCGATTTGTCGTCTTCGAAATTTTGCATCGCATGTTATGCTGGTAAAGACTTCAGTCTCACCCTAAAGTTGAAACGTTTGCATGTTCACTTGACACATTTTCTTCGACCACTTTAAGTACATGTTGTTTGCTATACTCTACTTGGTAAAATTAAGCAGTCAATAATTCATGTCAATCATACTAATGCACATTACACAAACATATGGAATTAAAGATATAAATGAGTGTTTATTTTTTAAAAATTAATTTTTTGCCAAAATATATATGTTTTAACCAGCGACTATGCAAAATATATACACTTTATTTTTAAAAAATATATATATATATTATAAAGTTTTATCTTGGGTAATGAATACAAATGATCAACAGGTAGCAGAATATGGAAGTAGAAAGGAAATTGTGGGGACTATTAGTGGCTGTATAAAAAATGTGGCAATTGGAAAGAGAAGCTCAAATGAATTTCCAATCTATGTAAAGCTGGCTTATGTTCTGGGACTCAGAGTTTCATCTACACACAGGTCTCTCTCTCTCTCTCTCTCTCTCTCTCTCTACATGTACGTGCTCTGTGAGAAAGGTAAAAGCCCTAATCCCCCTTGGGGAGGACCTTGTTATATCAACAATGATAGATATAGGATTTTCTCCGGGTGATCCTTTCTGAGGACTTACGGTCTCAGGCAAGCTCCTCAAGTATTAGTCGTCTCTTTCGAATACAAGTGCATAACATATGCATATCACATGTTCATAACATATGCGTTTTTTCATTAATACTTGACAAGTACTATCAATGGAGATCGACAGTTGAAGATAAGATATATGATTTCCATTATTATTTTCAATGATAAGTTCAAAATTTTGAGGAAAAAATAACATTTTATTCATCGCATTCTATCTTAAGACATGGTCAAACATATAATTTAGACACACTATGGTTAAATTCCTTCCATTAATTCCTAAAAGCACTGGTAATAATTATGTATCTCATCATTCTTGTTTAATATTATTTTAGAAGAAATTCTAATCTCGGAACATATTCCCTACAATATTTTAGATAAATAAAGACCCCAAAATCTAGTAAACTTATCTCTGTTGCCTAGTGGAAGATTAAAATCCATATACTATTATATTATGCTAATGTATATGGATTATTTTAATGCAATTATATTTATTAGATTATCGCTTAATTATTAATCAAGATTATGCATGCAGGAGACTTGGGATTGGAACAAAATTAGTTCAACAACTAGAAGAATGGTGTAGACAAAATGGGGCTGACTATGCATACATGGCAACAGAAGGTAGCAATCAACCTTCCCTAAATCTTTTCACCCTAAAGTGCAATTATGTCAAATTCAGAAACCCTACAGTATTGGTGCAGCCTGTTCATCTTCACTACAAGCCATTAGGCATAGGTATTGCAATAATTAGGGTTTCTCCACAGCTATCTGAATCAATATATCGTCGAATATTTTCTCACTACGAGTTCTTCCCTAAGGACATCGACTGTGTTTTGAACAACAAACTCACTCTAGGCACTTTCATGGCCTTAACAAAGAAATCCCTCAAAAATTGGAACACTAAAACCGGGGAATTACCGGCAAATTTTGCTATGCTTAGCATATGGAACACCAAAGAAGTTTACAAGTTACAAGTGAAGGGCGTTTCAGGTTTAAAGTATGCAGCCTGTTTAGGAAGTAGGGTCATTGATGCCTTGATGCCCTGGCTAAAATTTCCGTCAGTACCAAATATTTTCGAGAATTTCGGGTTTTATTTTCTGTATGGACTGCACATGGAAGGAAAGGATGGCTCCAATCTCATGAAATCTCTATGTGCATTTGCTCATAATATGGCCAGAGATGATAAAGATTGTAGGGTTTTGGTGGCTGAAGTAGGGCAAATGGACCCCGTTAGAGAGGCAATTCCGCACTGGAGAAAATTTTCATGGGATCAAGATATATGGTGCATTAAGAACCTCGGAGAAGCCCAAGGAGAAGACGATAGAAATTCTCAAGAATACTGGATTAAATCTCAGATATCTTCTTCAGTTATTTTCGTTGATCCACGTGATAATTGAATATTATTTCAGTTTTAAGTACATACATTTTGACAGATATAATTAAAGAAATAAGAGAATTTATATTATGTTTGTCCGCAAATAATTGGACAAAGATCTAATTTATATATAGTTCTTGTTTGGTGCAATTTAAAATTGATAAAAGTTGATGAAGTGTGCAGTAGAAAAATTGTTAAAAGTTATGGATCTCATAAAATGTGTGATCAAAATTAATTATTGATTTTAACTATATTTTCATAACTTTTTTAAGTTATACCAAACATGGGCACAGATTAATTTTTACGGAAAAATACCATTGACATTTATCAATCCTAGACAACAAAAATTGTTCCTGGCCATGTCATTCTATGTCATCCAAGGTGTAGGAAAATAATGTACAAGTATCGTATTTGTGAAAATATAAATCCTAAATCTAATTTACAAAAAGTAATTACATTAATCTTAACTATTTATCTAACAAAACCCTACAAAAAAAAAATCTCAAAATTAATGATTTCAATTTTTTTTTATATAAATTGGTAAACGTTCATGTCAAACTCCCACTTCTTATGCCGGTTAAAAATATAAAAGTAATGAAGTAGAACAAAAATATAACAGCGAATTAATCCTTCACCTACACGTCCTAAGAACCCATGTTCTTTGACTGCTAATTTTGCATTATATTTTACTTACACCATGACAAGAATTGAACTCTCTGTTGAAGATAACAAAATTGAGTGCCCTTTGAATTTACTTGTCTATTTATTAAAAAAAATTATTCATGTTAGACATGGACTCTTACTCCTAAATTAAATTCGAAAAATAAAATTTAAAATTTAGGAAAGGTGTCAAACCTTACCTACTAAAGATAAACGAAAAGAAATATAATTGTCTGATTTAGTTATTTAAGTAATGCTACTTGTACATAATTGTGTACATATTGATTTACATATTGATGATGTGGATAATATTAACTGACTTCATTTTATTTCCTTTTCTCTTTTTCCCTCTTTTTTCCACTTCATCAATTGTACACAACTATGTACAAATAATATACTCTAATTCTTTACCATGATAGAAGTTTAGCGAAAATGAGTAAATGGTTTGAGTTCGATAAATTCTTCATTCACTAGAAAATAGTGACATCGTAAATCAATTGATTCTATGATTTATTACTACCCTTTTAAGCATTATATTAGTGTTTCGATAAATAATGGTACGATTTTCATATTATTCTCGATCCATGATACAATCAACAAAGAGAATTAAACTTTGATGCTATTGAGTCTTAGAAAAATACATTATCGTGTATCGAAGCTGAATACTTGTCGTCAACTTTATCAAAAAGTTTCCTTGTATGGAGGGGATTGTACATTTATGAAGAATCATTAACGTGTGATTATCAAATTAAACATCTTGAAAAAGCTTCTATCCAAACTCAACTTTACTAATGTAATTAGTACACATTAATTATTCTACTAATTAATCCATAAAATGATTATATATTAATTAAGAATAAAGGAACGTGCTAACTCTGAGCTTTAACACCTGTCACCGCAGTCTAATCTTCAACTTTATCAAAATGAGATTGAGGGCCACATTTTGAGCGGCTTAAAATCCCTATGTTGAGATTGTTGTCTGGTATACTATGATTGTTAAATGTAGATTTATGTAAAAGAAGAGAACTAAACAATGAAAAATTTTATTCTTTTGTGAAAAATAATAAAGAGATGATAAGCATAGCTTTTACACTTGTCTTGGCCTTTTTAGAATGACTTTCGTTAATGTTTCGAGGTTGCAGGGGCTGACCTAGCTAAAGCCCAGTGTAGGCAGGCATCTACCTACACTGGGCTTTGGGCCACCCCAATTTTTTCATCAACCCAAAATTTAAAAAAAAAAACAAGTGGGCTATTATTTTGCCCAAACTGAATTATAGAAGCCCGACAAATTATAATCCATTACAATACCATAACAGTCCAAAAAAAGAAATCCATTGAACTCCTGAACGGCTGGATGGACCGCAAACGCTCCTGCATCCACGGCGCAGCCAGGGTTTTCTGTTGCTTTCATCAGTTTTCATCAGCCAGGCGCCCAGTAGGTGAGTTTTCTATAATTTTCGCCCATGTATTCATTTGCTATTGCTTGGCTGTAGCCTGTAGAGTATATGCAAATTGCCAAATAGGAATAACCAGTAACTGATAGGAATGTAAAATGCATATATTTTCCTCCTTATTTTATGTGCTCGAATGATTAAAAAATGTCAAAATATTTTCATTACATTCATATTTTGATTTACGTGGAAATTCTATGGATATGGTGCAATTTGGAAGAAATAAACAAACAATGGCCAAAATGAAAGAAAACGAAGTTTGGAGATTGAAATGTAAATACTCAAAAGTTATGTGGAATCTCATGATGAAAATTTGAGAGTGTTAGGAGTTAATTAGATGAAAGAAGACATCAAAGGGATAAAATATAGTCAAAGTATGATCATACATCAATTTTCAATCGAAAAAGTTATGCACCAATTTTCATCCTCATATTGAGACCCATTTCTTATATGGAAAATAATCGAATTAGAAGATGATATCTAAATAAAAGTTGTAACCCTTTGAGTTAACTTTTCAACGCATCTTGAATCGCCTCAATCGAATATTGGGAGAGAAATATATTATCAAAATACTGAAAGCTATCTGGTGAGAATTATTTAAAATCATGCGGTCGCATGACTTTAATTCCATGCGGCCTCAAAAAGTGTGAACTTCAGTATGCGACCGCATGACTTACTACCATGCGGCCGCATAGTTCATTTTCGACATGAAATTCTGATTTCCGAATTTAAGTCAATTACCTCTGAAAACAACTATAAATACATATTTTAAAACCTTACAAAAATGGGAGAACGTACAGAACGCCTCCAACTTCATTCTTCATTATTTTGCTCATAGATTCATGAATTGTAACAAAACTTTTATACTTGGTCGAAGGAAATCGAAGTCTCGGAACCGCATATTGTGATATCTAAATAGTTTTTCTTATTGATTAATTCTTATTTTGCGTATTGAATATTTTTCTGCACTTATTTTCATGATTGCTATGCTAAGATGCTTACTAGTTTGTTATTCGTTACAATCTACCGCTAAATTAAA